AAAGGCGGAAGGCAGGAACGGCACCGGTGTGAACACAGTGACCCAACGGCAGCGGAGGATCTGGTGCCTCGTGTCCGCGCGGGTGTTCGGTTTATCTACCGTTTTGCTCGTGGAGGTCAAACCGGGCACAACTGTCGGGGTGCTTCGGGGAGGTGCAGAGGCTCGGCTGGGCCCGGAGCAAGACACAGCCGGGCTGACGACTGCGGGTTTTTCCAGTGTCCGTGAAAACGGGGTGCTGGAGCTGCAGCCACGTGATAGTCGTGCTGAGAGGAGGGTTGCGCTGGCTGTGGTGAAAGAGGAAGGACTCAAGTTTCTCGGCGGTGCAAGAGCAGGGAGGCCACTGAAGGCAGAGGAAAAAGGGGCCAAAGTGCAAAAAAAGAGCCGGAGAGGGAAGCTGGGACAAGGTCACTGGCGTTAAGGCAACTGCTGACAAGGAGGCCAGGTCATCTCCCGCAGAGCAGCGTCGCGCTCGCCCGGCGCCGGCTGCATGCTGCACCGTGGTTTGCCCCTGGTGCCAAAGCTCTTCCCCAGCTCCTCGGCGGGTGGGAAAGGCGCCGTCCCCGGCTCTGCCACAGCTTCCTTCCTCCTCGTGGCCATGCAAGTCAGAAAACATCCTGCTCCTGCGAAGCCACCGTCACGTTGTCACTTCCCAGCTCGAGTCCAAGCTCGGTCACAGCCGGGACGAGTGGCCCGTCTCCGCGGGCAGTGCCACGGTGGTTCTTCCCGCGCCCGCGGCACTGCCGGGCTGCGGAGGGGGGCTCAAGTCCGCGTTTCTCCTTCTCCTCGGCGAGCGGCAGCTACACCTCGGTGGAGTACTCCATCATGCTGGGGGAGAGAGGAGAGGGGCGTTGTGGAAGGGAACTGTCCAAATCGGGAAGCAATGGGATGTGTGGAAAGATATTCAGTGGGAACAGGGACTTTTGCCAAAAATAAGTGGAGAAGGAATGACAGGGTGTTGGTGGGAGATCCCTGTTGGTGGGAAATCCTTCTGTCAACAGGTAGCCAGAGCTCTAAAGCTGAACGGCAGCAGCACGGTGCTTCCTGAGCCCCGCTCACCTCTGCCCTTGCCTGGATTTTGGGGTGGCAGCTGGGACGAGGTGACCGTGAAGAAGGGCAGGCTGAGCCCTCCCCCAGAGCGGGGCTGAGTCCGTGAAGGACAGCAGCACGAGGGCGGCCCAGGCTACGGCCCTGAGCAACATCGGTTCGTTTCCAGCTGAAATGCTTCGTTGTTGGTGTTTTTTTAACAAAAGTTTAAATGGGAAATCTGGGCAAAATTGCTCCTCATTTCAACTTGGAGCTTTTCTTTTTCTGAAGGAAAAGCCAAAGCCAAGCAGACCCTTCCTCTGGTGAGCGCTATTGAATTGCCTCGGGTGGGACTCATTTCGGTGGCCTTGGGTGCCAAAAGCCAGGCACCTGGGCTAGGGAGCGAGGCCACAGGCGTGGGGGGAGATGGATCCTTGTCCATGTGTAATGCAGCTCCTCTTAAAAAGAACATTTTCTGCTGTAGGTCCCGGGGAGTAGAGGCTGGGCTGAAAGCTGGGGGGGAAGCTGCCCTGAAAAGGGTGATGGAGGAGCTGCCCTGGAGGCAGGAGCTCACAGCCCCACCTTCTCCCTGCCTGCGGTGGTGAGTGTCAGCCTGATCGGGGGGCTCCGGAGCGGAGGGATCCTGCAGCCAGGCAGCTCTGCTGCTGGGGGCCGCGCCGTCTAAGCCCCGCGCTGGGGCATCACCCACCTCAGCTCTTTACGAAGGTTGCTGTGTTTTCTGTCCAGAAATTGATTCTTGACCGACTGGGGGACATCGGGGATGTACCAGGCTGCGATCAGCTTGA